CAGCGGCGGTAGGAGGCCCACGCATTCTGCAGGGAGGCCTGTGGAGACATGCGCTCCCTGGGAGCAAATCCCCACATTTCTACATGGGACCTGTGTGACATTGGGCCACCTCTTAACTTCTCTGAGCCTCACGCTGAGGATCTTGAAGCAACCTGCCAGGGTGACAGGAAGTGTTGAATGAAAAGGCTCTGCAAGTTAGAGCACTTCATTTACGCAGGATGCTATGGGTGTTTCCCCTTGACTGCCAAGAACTTGCCACTCTGAGCCCCCAAATACCCCATTTGCCTTTTACTCACCTCCACCTCCCCCCAGACATCCTAACTACCTACTTACTGGCCTGGGGCCTGAGAGTCAAGAGGCCTGATACGACTTAAAAGCGTGGATTTTAGAATCAGATCTACCTGGCTTTCCACCTGGGGTCGGCCCCACTCTGACCTTGACCAAGCATATCTTATTGGAAAAATGGAGGTAGGCATACCCACTTTATAGGTTTATTGGCACAAGGATTAAATGAGAAAACCCATGGACAGCCTTTGCCCAAGACCAGGTTCCAAGAAGGCACCAAGTAACAGAGTAACAAGACACAATGACGCTCATTGTCACTCGTCGCCCTGGCCGCCGACTTGCCTTGAGGCCTGGCACAGGGTTGACATATTTCCCTAGTTCCTGGCACTGATGCCAGTTTTCCCCATTTTTAATTTTATTGGCCATTTCTAGAGAATGTTGGAAGGAGGATATTAACAAACTGTTTAATGTCGTCTGGCCCAGAAATTTTCCTGTGCGTGTTTAGGCTGATTTCTGTTGGTACGTGGAACTAAATTGATTTCCAGACATTCATCTCAGTCCAGTCAGTTCATGCAGTAACTCAGGTTGTTCTGGTTCTGCTGGATTTTCTAAGAAGGCAATGGACCCTTCTGCTATTAGGCACATTGTGTCTCCTTCAGAATTGTGCTTCAATTGTGCTTCATTGCATCAATCACACTGTGCATAAATAGTGATTATAGTTGCATCTTTTTTTCCCATTGTGTGGAGCCCAATGCGGGGCTTGAACTCACAACCCTGTGATCAAGACCTGAGCTGAGACCAAGAGTCAGACGCTTAACCAACTGAGCCACCCAGGTGCCCCCTATGCTTGCGTCTTTTTTTTTTTTCTTTTTTAAGATTTTATTTATTTATTTGAGAGAGAGAATGAGATAGAGAGAGAGAGCATGAGACGGGGGAGGGTCAGAGGGAGAAGCAGACTCCCTGCCAAGCAGGGAGCCCGATGCGGGACTCGATCCCGGGACTCCAGGATCATGACCTGAGCCGAAGGCAGTCGCTTAACCAACTGAGCCACCCAGGCACCCATATGCTTGCGTCTTTACCTTATTCCTAGCCTAACAGGGAATGCCTCTCCCCTCCCTCGTGTACATGTGAATTGTTCTTGTGAGGCAAACGCTGCTACCTTGTTAAGGAAATGTCCCTCTACTTCCTTTATTTCTACCTCTCAGAGTTTGTTGTTGTGTTTTGGTCTGGGATGGCTGTTTAATTTCATCAAACAATAGTTTCAGTCCTTACTGAAAGGATAAGGTTCCCTCATTTTTGTTTCTTTGACCTTATGGCAGACATGATGGCTAGAGATTTTTCCAGAACTCCACTTGGAAATGAATAGCTATTTTATCTTATGGTCCGATTAGTGGCTATGCAAGAAGGAGTGTTAGGATATTTAGATGCTCATTTGGGAAAAAAATTTAAGTTTGACTCTTTCTTTGCAACCATGTAAAAATTCTAGATGGATCAGAGATTATACCTTAACAAATGCTTTATGCTAGTTGGCAAAGGTATTGGAAAGTATTTTTATAGTCTTGATGCGAGGAATCATAAAAGTTGTAAAACCTAGAAGCCGTAAAAGAACAGACTGAGAGACTTGGTCACCTAAATATCGAAAACTTCTGTATAATGAAAGACACTGCAAAGAAAGTTAAAGACCGTGGAAGAATGGAAGGAAACATTGCCAACATACATCACAGGTGCTGGATTAATAATCAGAATATGGAAAAAAAGGGAAAATAGAAAAAAGTATTTTTTAAGGTATTTATTTATTTATTTATTTATTTAACAGAGAGAGACACAGCGAGAGAGGCAGCACAAGCAGGGGGAGTGAGAGAGGGAGAAGCAGGCTTCCCGCCGAGCAGGAAGCCCGATGTGGGGCTGGATCCCAGGACCCTGGGATCATGACCCGAGCCCCAGGCAGACACTTAACGACTGAGCCACCCAGGAGTCCTTAAAGTATCTTTTAACATTGCTGGGACCCCGGTAGCAGAACAGGAAGTTTCTGTAAACGGCAGACACCACCTCTGCGTCCCTCTCTCAGGGCCAGACACTGCCCGATGGAATTAATGACCTATTCGTAGGTGGACGGGGAAAAGCTTCCACACTCGGTGCGCTCGGGGTGCAGGTCCGGGGCCGGAGTTGTGGGTGACCCGGAGGAAGGCGCTTCAGTGTGCTGGTCTGTGAAATGGGCTCCTGAACGCCGGGGCGAGGGGAGCGGTGGCCCGGAGCCCAGGTCTCGCCCCCTCCCGCTCTCCGGCGCCCGGGGAGGGCGGGGGGCCCGGCTGGGGAGGCGCCCAGGCTGGCACGCCGACCCCTCCGCCCGCGGGGTCTCCGGAGGGGGCGGATCGCGCGAGCCCGAGAG